CTAAACCAAACTAGGAGAAGATTGACATCGGGTGTCACTACAATCACCAAAAGAATTCTATTCAACGTATGACACTATAAATCTTCAAAAGTATTATCTCCAAAAATGCTTTTAGATCATATCATTTTTTTTTAAAATGTCTTGCTTAATGTCTAGTGAGATCAAACAGATTTATAGATAAAGGTGAAAATCATAAAAATTAGTAATATGAGATTTAATCCGACAAGACTTTAAGCCGATTGAACAATAAGACAATAAAGTCAATTACACGTCTTACGACGACAGAGGAGACCCGATTTCTATTGATTGCGGCAGAATACAAATGTAAGCCGCGAATCCATGTTGTAGAGCTTCTATTATGGAACATTGGTCATCTGCTTCGACCACCCACTGTATGTGGTTGAGTCCCCCAATGTCTTAGAAAGATTCATTGGCTAGAACCAAAAGACTACGGACACACAGTCATAAAGTTCAAACACCCACTGTTTATAGTTTGAGTCCCCAGGTGATCCATTACTCGTATCTAGCTATTTAATGGGAATAACCATCTCATCTTACACAAAAAAGTCGACTTCTATTCCTATGGATCCATTATATTATAGTTTATGCTTACCATTGCTTTAAAATATTTCACTAAAAAATTAACAGTCAAGATTTGGAATTGTGTTTCTTGTTCATTTAGATTGAGGAAGGGTATTAACTCAGATGATTTATGCGTTTTGGTATTTTGAATGATATATTCATTAGTGAACCCAGTTCACATAATGTTCATGCATGAAAGAGATACATTTAAACACAAATGATCGGTCAGAGATTCATTAGTGAACAATTTTCATTAACAACCGACTTACTCATCATATAAATGTTCATTAGTGAATGCTTTGGTATAGGGGCCGAGGGGTTCTAGGGCTTTCCTACTTTTTAGAGATAAACCATGCGGAATTTTTTCGACATTTTTAAAATGTTTCAAAGCGGCGAAAAGCCTAGCGAAATTCCCACGGCGAAAAGCCTAGCGAAATTCCCACGACGAAACCTCGAGAGACTTTTCACTTGTCTTCTGCGAGTTTGAGACCTTACTTCTGCGACTACTCTACTTTTGCAAGTCCTTACCTCGACAAAATATCCTCTATCTCAGAGTTTAGTAGAAATAATCCACCACCTTATAATATAATGGATTGAGTTATATAATGCCACCCAGGTTAGCCTTTTTAATTGAAACCCCGGAAAAAGAAAGACGCTTTCCCTCATCGAGTTCAGTTCCTGGCCTTGTTGGGTCACTTMACCATCTACAAGCTCCGTCTTTCGGACTAATGGCTAAAAAGCGAGTGAATCTTCTTCTTCTTGAAGGCTGTCTTCCCATTCCCTATCATCTTAGTCAGCGGAAATGCTTTCGATTCCATCCTAGCTGTCCAATCGTCTTCCCGGTCCTGAACGACACAGCAAGAAGGCGAACTCTTTCTAGTTTGACTGACTAATAGAATAGTGTGGGTATCCAGTATAACATAAAACATAACTGAACAAGTAAAATATGATTCTTTGCCGTTGCTTTCATCAGTCTGTGATAGAAATAGACATTTTCAATGCACACTAGAGAAGATACAGGTCAAGAGAACCCAGATGCATCTCAGAACTGTAGGACAAAATCTAGGAGAGGCTTGTTCACAATCAAGACCAGCCTCTATGAAGATATCGAGCACCAAATACGATGAATTTACCAACGGATTCACAGTAAACTGATCACTTGGGGTGCAAGTCCACTCGTCAATTGACCCACCAACCAGAGATGGAGAAACTACAAGGTTTACCAACAATGGACGGGGCATGGAGTCGTTTGGATGCACCGACATCTGGGAAGAAGCAGTGGATTTGAAGTGGCCTGGAGGTATTTATTTAGATACACAAGCAGCTTCTCAGCCATCAGATTCACATAAGCTTGACTTCAATCCTCAAACTGTAATCAGGTTCTCTCTCATATTCTAGTTCCTAGCTTCCAAGAACACTTGCCAATGAAAATCACCAAGTTTGCAAAAGAATCTTTAGTATACCAGCATGTTCTAGTGTCTACATATACTCTTTCGTAACTGACACTACAACAAATTCAGCTTAATAGAACATCAAATATATCCAAATGTAATAACAGACTGCTTTATAGGACTTTTGATTATAGAACCAAACAATTGTGCATCCTATGTAAAAGTGTTGTAATAAGACGATAGAATGCTTTTGGGCATCCTAATAAGTTTTTAAGATGCTTTTGAAATAAAATGTTCTATTAGTTTTTTTTGTATAGGACACTGTTTTCATAAAACATGTTTTTTTACAATGTCATATAGAAAGAATAATAGGACTTATCTAAAAGCGTCCTATCGACTTATTATAACACATTTACATATGACACATAATTATTTCGGCATATAAACGTAATTCCTATAAAGCAATTTATTTGGACATTTAAACATATTTGATGTCCTATAAATCCGATTTAGTGTGAACAGGAAAGATGAACCATTTCAAAGTTGAAGAAACCTAGATTATATAACATACTTGTATCAAAATGCAGCAACTAAGCTGATAGGCCCTACTTTCCCAAGGCAAATAGTACTTCCAATAACTACTATAAGTTAACCGGCAAACAAACGATAGAACAGAAGAAATCTGGTAAAAGCATCCTGCTACTAGGAAGTTCTTACCTTTTTACAGTGGTTAAATCTTATGTGAATTTGGTACCTCCATCTCTTAAGATATACCTACCTTCAGTTGTAGTTGCTTTCCAGTTTAAGTATGTATCAATTTAGTTCAACTATTTTTAGACTTAGTTTCAGATGTTGCAGTCTAAAACCATTATGGTCCTAAAACACAGCTTCACTATAGACTTCCAATAATATTCATAATAAAGAATGTGGGTTCTTAATATTTCTTTTCTGAAGATATTTCATAGCCTGCATATACTCTTGTAATGGCTTTTGTTGTCAAGCTTTAATTCACAGATGTGAAAGGGGGAATAGTTGTAGGAGCGCTGGTCCTTGATTGAAGTGTTCTTTGGAGGGAGGTGACACTAAAAACTTCATGATACTTATCTTTGAGGATGAGGAGAATCTGCAACACTTATGGAAACTCAATCTACTTCTATTTCTACTTCTCCAGCCAATCATCCGAAAAATCATACACAGCTCACAGATGGTCCTAATCGATGGGAGGGCAAAGGAAAAGCAGCCAACTGTTTCACTTGGGAAGATTCTCTTTATCTACACTAGTCTTTGCTTTATGGTATAGAAAACCTAAAATGATAGTTGCTTCAATGTGGATTGGTAACTTTAACACCATGTTGGGTGAGAGGTCACAATCAAAAGGTGAATCAACACCCACCTTTAATCTTCTGATTTGATCTTGCCCAGGTGAAAGCTTGTAGTACAAACTCATCCAGTTATTTTCCTATTATAATGTCTGTTTCTTAATATTTATCTGAGCATAAACCAACCTGATGTGTACATTAGGAAGGAAAAAAAAAATTAAAAAAAGCAGTCACTATCTCAAGTTATCCTCTAAATAATGACCATTCACCATGAAGAAAGAATAAACAGATTTCAGATGGAGGTCCATTCTAGAAAGATACATCAGGTCTAACAGAGTATAAAACAAATGGGAAAGGGTGCTACTATTGTCATCTACTTGGTTTAAATTTGCTTAGAAAAAGATAAGATATAAGAGGCTTTCAATGGACTCCTACTGTATGCACACAGTACCCACTTGCCCATATTTTATCCTTGTTTCTAAACAAAAGCACTAGATCAGCTTGCTACTTTAGTATACAAAATTTTCTTTTCTCCTTTTTATTAGCATTTTTAGCAACCCTAGACCCCACCACACCTCCAGAAATGGACAGCTATAAATCTCTTGCACAGTTTTCGACTTCCATCTAACATTTATGTATGGAGGGGCCTCCTATGTATAAAAATATAATTGCAAATGTAGGGTCATAAAACATACCTGCAAAACATGCTTTAAGTACAAACTAATAATGCAAATAAACATTTTCTCTATTTAAAATTTTTGAATCAGTTTGTTGACCATTTTAGAAAAAGAAACACAAAAATGAACTTTTACCGGAACTCCATGTGTCCTCCAGGAATTCTTCGGAGATAATTGATACAAATTCTCCTTCCCTTTGCTGATTCAATAAAAACTAGCATAAGTGCACTATTGGTTCATGGGATGTTACTCGAGATCTAGAACTGCAGCAGGTATCTGCTCACTACCACACAATTGAAATATCATATTATATAATGGCGGGTTCCATGTTTATTTTGTTGAGTACCTAATTGACAAGAATGGAGTTTTAATTATTAAAAAGATAACTTGCCGACGAATACAGACAGAAACACATCACTGTTTACTGTAGAAGCCAACTAGACTCAACTTTTATGCAAGCTTTTGATCTGAATCAACTTGAGTCAAGCTTCTGTTTCAAGAACGATTATATCCACCTGAATTATTGAATCAAACCGACGTGGCTACATAAAGAAGTGACATGGTATTATAATTAAGCTGGCTGATGAACAAAGATCAAGATACTATACCACAAGTAACAAGCTCAAGTGCATGCAGGAAAAAGAAAAAGAAAATCTAAGAAAAACGGAAATCATGCTATTGTTATTGTAATTTGTGATTGGATTATGCTTTTCAAAAAGATAACAATAGTTACCAATTGCAAAAGGATGACACAAGCACAAGTGAATGTATTTCTTTTTAATATGAAAGTAAAATAATGGCAGACACTAGAAATAAATGTCAAGATTTTTGACAGGACCACAATTGGAAAGATCTGTTTGTTGTCAATTCTAAACATTTTTAGTTACTCTTAAAGAGAACCATGTAAAGTTGGTGTCTTAAAGCAGGATGGAGAAAATGCACTAGCCAATAAAAAATTGGGGGAATACAAAGACTTGAAAGGAGCTATAGCAGTGTCCCCTCAAGAACATCAAGCATCACTTGGTGGGGACATTTAGGAGAGATGGCATTGGTAGTTTCTGTGTGGGTGTGTGTGAGAGAGAAGGAGCATCTAACGTCCTCTTCTCATGCTCTTGCTTATATAGCTTCTTTCTCATATACTGATTTCCTCTCTGATCCAAGGCCAAGCCTCATAAGAAACATCTCAGAGAAAACATCTAATAACTGATCTTCTTTCTCGTCTTTTCAATCTTTAGTGGTGATTGATATTCGATGAATACCAGGGAAGATAGAAGTCAAGAAAACCCAGGTCATCAAAAAGGGTGGCTGAATCTTAGCCTAGGACAAAATCTAGGAGAAAATTCACAATCAAGACCCATGAAGGTATATACATGCAACTTCTGCAAGAGGAAGTTCTACAGTTCACAAGCATTAGGAGGCCATCAAAATGCCCACAAGAGGGAGAGGGATGCAGCTAGAAGATATCAATCACCAAAGTTCACGGTTAACCGATCACTTGGCGTTCATGCCCACTCACTTGTTCACGCACCAAGCAGAGATGGAGAAACAACAGTAGCAAGGTTTACTGACGATGGTGCCAGGTGTGGAGTCACTTGGTTGAAGCCCTATGATGGGGAGGAGACAGCAGAATCGAAATGGCCTGGAGGTTTTTATTTGGATGCGCAACCAGCTTCTCAGCCGTCAGATCCGCATATGCTTGACTTGAATCTAAAGCTGTAATTTGGTAGCATTTACTTGCTCCTAAATGTTGAATTCTCGCATCATGCTACTGTTACAGCATCTTATGAGAATGATCAGTTTCTCAATGGACTCTGATTTCATCAACTTCACGAGGTAGCCACAAATCTTAAGAGACCTTCCTATGCAACTCAATAATGCCTCCAGTCTGTCCTCTCTCTCTCTCTCTCTCTAGTTCCTAGCTTCCTTGAAATAACACTCTTAGCAATGGAAGTGCCAAGTCTCTAAAAGGGTTTTCAGTTCACCAATGTCTTCTTAGCTACTACTTCGGTTTCCAAAGTGAAGGGGACGAATGGACCACGTCACCTGATAGTCTACTTGTGAGAATATTGATGTTGAAGGAGCCTAGATTTGTAATTTATATGCAGCAGCTATGTTGGTAACCCAACTTTTGTAAAGACAAGTACTATTTTTCAAGGACTATTTTATTTAACTGAACACAAGATGATAGTATAGAAGCAATCCTGGTACAAGCATCATGCTTGGCAAACACTTTGTTTGTCATACAAGATCAAAGACATTATACGCACCCTGGCACATGGATTCCCATCAATTTAGACCATAAATCTTCATAATTTCCAAAACAAAGTGTATTCCTCATTGACATCATTGCTTATAAGCAAGAAATCATATGCATCTAGAAAGACCATAATATGCTATCCCTGGAAATAAAAACAGATGGATGCATTAAGAGTAAGAAGGTTTATGGCACTAGAAATGCCATTTGGAAGTTCCTTTTGACAGAAGATTTTGCTAGGGTCATATCATGGACTTCCTTTTTACTGAAGGGAATCATGTTTTCTGCCAGTGTGATTGATGATATGAGTCTAGTTCACAAACCACAAATGTGGCTGTTGCCAGCTTCCGAAGTACATAACGTTTCTTTTACTTGCAGAGATAGCCAGCTTCCAAAGTTCATAATGTTTCTTTTACTTGCAGAGATGCACTCCACTTGGTGAGGTAGTGTTCAACTAGTGTGTTCCAACTTCTGAATTTCAAAACCATAATTGCTTACAGCAAAAAGCACAGCATCTCCTTAATAAAGATAAGATCACCTTTGTAATTTATTCCTTATGATGTTATGTACATAGATAAATCACCACATTACATACTTTGTATGTACATATTTTTGTTAATAGACACTTCTTATGTACGGTCTAAATTACATCAAATCAATTATGTTCTTACTTTCTGTTAATAGCCATCTGTTTCTGGTCTGATGCTTCCTTAAATCTGAAGGTTCACACGTCTCAGTTATGCTGCTAATTATATTTGACTATAATGGAAGAACCCGAAATCAGATTCATATGGAACCACATGTAGTACCATATGCATGTCCTTTTACCCTATTGAGTTCAAATAGAGATTGCACACATTTGAGGTAAAATGTAACAGATATGCATTCTTAAATATTGCTCATATGAATATCAGACAAACATCAAAAATTCTTCGGAGAAGCAGCTAAAAGAATTAATAGTGGGCATAAAAGCACGACTCTTTCACTTGTCCAGAAATGATATCTCATTACATGCCTCTTTGGAGAAGCAGCTAGATACAGATGACCTCCATAAGTAGATATAATTGAAAATAAGGTAAAGCTTACACCATACAGGACATGATGAACTTGAGCTTTTAAATCTTCTGCAAGTCAATAGGGAGCCTTTGGGTGATTATTTTTGGATCATTATATGCGGCAACTGCATAGAGAAAAGCCCAAGCAGCAGAGATACTTGAGATAGCCTTCAAACTAAGTAAGAGAAAAAGCTATTAGACAGGGGGACTATTTGGTAAAAAGCTAACACTTACGTTTTGATTTTCAGACAGAGTTTTGAGTTCTATTTGACAATGAAATCGAATCGTGAGGCAAGATTGTTTCTGTTTTCTTTAAAAAAATTAAACAGAAATTTTAAAATAAAGAATAAAAGTTGTATTTTACTGGGTGTGAAAGTTCAACCTTTAATAAAGTTGAAATGTTAATGCGTGTTTTCTGTGAACAGTTAAAACATGAAAAATCAAGGATACAATATACAAGTGCCATTTACAAATTGACAAAATTTTGTTTATCTGAAATCATAAATGTTTCCCAACTGCCTTTTTTAGTCCGGTTTCCATTTTCTTTAACATGTTAACGCAAAAAACATAAGATCACTCCATTGCGAAGCTTAGGACTAAAAATATCTGAATGACAGTCTGAAACTTGCATTCTAGTGGAGAGTCATATTACAGGATGATTGTTGGGATTTACTCTATCAACTAAATTTCCCTGAAGGTACAGGACTGTGCATTCAGCACTAATAAGTAGGACAGACCATTTTTAAAAAAGTAGAAAACATCACTTCACACAAAGTGAAAATAAAAGGCTTTTTCCTTCAAAACTGTTACGAGCTATAAGAAAGTAGTTCAATAAAGCAAATGAGTTATTAAATGTTCAAAATAAGCGAACAGATTACTAGATGACAAGGTAAACCAGGAAAAGACAAATTTTCACTCGTGAACATGTGGAAAGTAATAAGCAAGCCTCTTTTTTTAATTGCCTCTAGAAGATATATTTTTTTGGTTTGTTTGTTTTATCCTCGTTGGTAGTTGGAGAAGATAGAACTGTAAATATATCAATGACAGAGACACCTCTCTGCCCTCCCAAACCAAAAAGTCAACATGGCTTGTTTTGACAGGCGGTCTAGAAAACAATAATATGCAGCAACAGCAACAAAAACCGAGAGGAAAGACTTACTGAAGATAATGGCTTGAATGCAGTCTTTATCCACAGATGTCTCTAATCATGCTAAGCACACTTATATCCCTCGATCTCATTAGGAGACTACCAACTCTAAGCTGTATATTGCAAAGCCAGATTATTAATCAGGGTAAGGTTTTGTATGCAGATATTGAAATTTATTAGCCATTGCATGCATTATTCAAAGAGAACTCATCCAGAAACATAGAAAAAACCAAAAACCAGTCATCACCCTCGAAAAACCTATAAGAAAAACTTTTTCCAAAAAAACATAAGAAAAATCCACTTCAATAATCAAAATACTCTAAACGAAGCTTAACTAGATCCAGTAGGAACCTATAAGAGTTCAATATTTCACCACTTCCATAGTCAAAAGCAACGCTTCATAACCACTACATTATTAGCTAACTTTTCTTCATGCATATCACCTGTTAATATAGGTTGATTGTTGCAAGAAGATATATGCCAGAGGATGGAAGTTCAAACACATCTGCTAGTATTTTTAATCATTCACGACTATAACAACGTTACAGGACAGAATAGGCTCTTACGATGTCACTGCAATCACATCTATCTGCCCCTCACTCTCCTAAAGGATTACTGATGTTCTCCTCAAATTCAGCTCCTTAGCCATTCTGAACAGCAAACTGACAGCACAAATATACTCATTATCTAATTAAAAACACTATTAGAAATAGAAACGTATCCTTTCACAAAGAACTAACACAAGACACTGTACTTCATTAGAAAGAATATTTTAGCAATACAACGTAACTTGGTAATGTCATCCTCCAATTCACTTTGAAGTTCATGTTAGTTAATACACAAGAACGCAGAGTCACATAACACACGAATTCCACCAGCATAAGAAAACAAATACAGATGGAGCAATGCAACCATAAGTTACCTCGACAGTTTCACTTCCAGAAATCAGTCTGGTGAAAGTTAATCGTGGTCAATAGTCACCTGTTGAACAGCATTGCTGCGGTATGCATAACAGATTCAACTGAGACAGGATGGCACTCTGCATCTTAAACTACGGCTCCATCTTTGATATGATTGTTAAAACTGTGAAAATGATAACACTTCTTTCAATTGGTAAACAAAAACAATTAATTAGTCAAGAGATAAAGAAATTCATGTCCTATGCCGAAAACATATTAATCAAATAATCGTCAAAATAAATACAAAATACTCACATCAAAACATGTTAAAACCGAAGAAGGTAATCAAAGTAACAACACAAGCATATGGAAAGAAAAAGGCATCACTTGCAGAAGGGGGACCTTGTATTGCCACACAAGAAAATATGAGACGTAAATAATAACACAATATGTTAGTAGTTCGGTAATGGTAATAGAGTACCCTGAATCTCTAGTTTATGAGGAATTGCATCTTCGAGGGCACGATCTATAACCCTATACAGACACACTGTCACACACATACATACATACCTACATGTATATGCAAATGTATTACCACAATATATATCTGAATGAATGTTTTCTTCCAAAATAAAAACTTAATATCGTATTAGAGCTCGATTATTTTTGGAAGGGGTATCAGGGATCTATTATCTTATAGAGCATCTACTTCAGCTTTTAGCATATGGACATTTGGTAGCGATATGAAAGTCAATGATACGCCTCCAATCTGAGGGAGACAACAATACAATAAGGGTAATTGGCAGTTTTAAGGTTTCTAATAAAGATATTTTTGGTATTTTCTAGTTTATAAGGTATGAGCCTACATTTAGACAGTTCTATATTATTTTAATATTTAATGAAACATCCGGCAGTCTTAACAAATTTTCAAATTTTTAATAAAATATATATAGCCTATCCTACATCTCAAACTTCACAGGAAACATGGTGGTTATTTGCTTAAATTTTGTAGTAAAATCGGCATGTAATACTCTTGGTATTGCTTTTAAAATGTATATGTTAAGTGTTCTATAAGAAAATACAAGATAGTGTGTTCTCATCAAGTAAACTTTAGCATCATTAACAGTGGTAAGCATTAGTGTTGTACTTGGATTAAGATAGCAAACAGTCGATTAATGCTCTTTCCCACTCCACTCTTAGTGGAGCTGCCTAAAAGGTTAGCTGAAATTTACATTCAATAGTACACCCTAAATAGGCATTTTGGTACACATGCATCTCAATTCTCACTATAAAACCTGATCCTACATAATGAAGATGCAGACTTCATCAATATTACCTGACCATACACATCAAAATTATTAAGAGTTAGGAGGTGTTTGGATGTGTGTTTTGAAAGTCCTTATTTGATTGTTGTGATTTCAAGTCGCAATAATCAGGTTACAGTGTTTGGGTAACCCGCTCCACTTATCCGGTTATTTAGGATTCAAATAATCAATATGATACTAACTGCAGCAAAACTCATCATCAAAGGATAGAAAAATTACTTATATACCTTTATTTTATCTATTACTTTCTTAAGGAATAAAATTTCGTCAAACACTTGCACTATAAAAAATGATTACAACTTCAAACAGGAGAAAATCCAAATAGAATCTCCTACACCATGTTTTATTACAACTGATTAATGATTATCTGATTCTGATCAGACATCTAAACACCTCCTTAAACAGTAAGATACAAATTCTAACTTCTAGTACTTTAAACTGATGATAAACAGAAGGACATCCCATGTTGTTTTCTGTGATTATTTTGATTATGCATGAAAAGTGTAAGGGCTATATCTTCATTGCCATATTGAGAGGCAAACCACTCAAATACATGGTATGTCACACATGCATGTGGGCCTTGACAAATAAATCAGTTGATATAAGATGTTGATCACTTGATCTAACATTTCTCCTGAAGTTAGAGCATAGATATTAGTCAAGCACAACTCACCAGATACAATTCAATTATGAGCCTTTCTTAGGAACAGCTCAACCTATGTGTGATGATATCTAGCACCAGATAACCTCCAGAAAACATGATGTGACCCCTCCTCCCCCAACACACGCACACACCCTATATACCAAACTTATATGTTCAACCTTTTCTATGAGAGGGAGAAGATCAACTGATCAAGCAAGGTTCAAACTTTGGGTGTGCTACAGTTATCATACAAACATGTGTGACTAAAGACTAAAATCAAATGTATAAGGAAGTTTCCGGAGTTTTTAAATACACTAATACATATATTCTCTGTTGCTCCCCATACATCTGTCTTTCTAATTAGTCACCGCATATCCCAACAAGTAAAGACCAATATACGTCAGGCAATCATGCTAATTCCCAAATATTGGATAAGTAGGCCTCCTATTATATAGCAACTGATCACCAATTTCATGTTGCAAATATGCCATCTCTTTGTCCAATCGCCAACAGATTGATGGTGAACCCCAGTTCATACAATTTCAATCAGTACAGGTTCAAATCATGCCATTATCCAAAAGTCAGATAGTGTGGGCCAGCGTAGCCTCCTATATGATGAAAACAAAATCCAATAATTTCACAACGCGACAGAGGCATAGCAAGATTGATTGCGAAAGCATTAATAACCCGTGCTTGTAAATGCCAACAAAAATTTCGTTTAATATATCATATGTTAACTTCATAGAAGTTAAATCGCACTTATTTTCTAAATACAACCCCTAATTGATCTGCTTTGTATGATAAACTAAACAGTGAAGACATATTTCACAAGTTCAACGCTGATTTTATGATGAAACGGAACTTCAAGTCATGAATGCAATCAAAGGTAAAGTGAAAGTGTACGATTGCTCCTTGAATGCAGATTCCTGGCCGTCAGCTCCGGTGGCTTTCGTCCGATCACGACTCCAACTTGTTTGTGCGTCGTGATAACCGTCTTGGAGATGGCGTTGGCTACAATTTTCAGATTGCGCAGTAAACCAACCCCACGGACCATGGCTACGTGCCTACGCAGCTACCTGAAAAGGTAATTTTCAAATAAAATATTATTTAATAAATGATTTTGTTATAATCGGTTTGAGAAAATTGCACCAAAATGGAACCAACTTTCACCTGATTCTTATTTAAGGGAATCAACTTTCAAAATCGTCATTTTAGGAAACCAACTTGTACCTGATTCTTATTTTAGGGAACCAACTTTTAAAATCTTCATTTTGGAGAACCAACTTGCACCTGATTCCTATTTTGGGGAACCAACTTGCAAAATAATTATATAAAAATAACTAAAATTCGTTTTTTTTCAAAAATTAATGCAATAAAATCTATTTTTCATTTCAAATCTCGTTTTTTTAATTCAGATATCAAATTGAACATTTTAAATAAAAATCCAAATTAGCACAATAAAAATTATTTTTTACTAATGCAAAAAAAATCAATTTAATAGAAAAAAAATAATTGATGCAATTAGTTAGATATAAAAATCTTGAATGTGATATTTAATATTTATTTTTGATTGCATCAATTAATTTTTTTTATTAAATTAATTTTTTTTGCATTAGTAAAAATAATTTTTATTATGGTAATTTGGATTTTTTTTTAAATGTTCAATTTAATATCTGAATTAAAAAAACGAGTTTGAAATGAAATTTTTTTTATTGCATTAATTTTTGGAAAAAAAATGATTTTTGTTATTTTTCTATAATTATTTTGCAAGTTGGTTCCCCAAAATAGGAATCAGATGCAAGTTCGTTCCCCAAAATGACGATTTTGAAAGTTGGTTTCCCAAAATAGGAATCAGATGCAAGTTCGTTCCCCAAAATAAAGATTTTGAAAGTTGGTTCCCCAAAATAAGAATTAGGTGAAAGTTAGTTCCATTTTGATGCAATTTTCCCAATCACTTTCTATGAGATATATAACCAACCTCATCAAATAATTTAATTTGAAATAGTTTGATGTTTAATTGAATTGTAAAATATTTAAATCATAACTATAAAGTTGATATTAGGTTATTATTATTTAAATTCAATGCAACTCGATAAAGTCGATATTCTTTTATTTCTTGAATTTAATATGATTGTTGAGTCTATATTAATATGTACATTAGAAAATTACACTATCACGTACCTTTTTCATATACAAATATTTTTAATTTATTTTCAATCTTTATATAACTCATTCATATATATGTTCAATAACTGTGAACATATATATGTAAATTGAGAAAATTAATTGAATGTGATATACGTGAAATTTAATTGAATGTAAATTGTGAAGTTGCAGTGTTATTTTATGGTGTTGAGAAAACATGATGATTTCACATAAATCCGACCTATTTTAAAACATATAAACTGTATCAATAAACTTATTTATATACATTGGACTTATATTAGATATCTAATACTCAAATACTAATTGAAATGAAAATATTGTCATATGTTTTAAGAATAAAAGAATCTTATATGTTCATTGAACTAAGAAGCTGTTTACCCAAATGCTTAGCTGGTAAGCATTGTTCAATAGGAATCAACACTATAATTTATTTTGATGCGTAAGATTTTAGTATATCGAATACAACAATTTACTGGGTACGCGCTTAACTAGATAAGAGTCATCATCCTCACTTACCGGGTAGACTCTCGATCCTTCTCATCGCTCTCATCGGTAAGATTCCTGACCCTTTTCATGTTCATCCAATGAAGAAATTTATGCGTTAAACACTTACCAACTAGTAGTTTAATAAACTCCCCTAAATGTTTGAAAATAATCATTTAGTTTTGACACACAAAATACATTCATGTTACATCTTCAATTATTCTAATATAATATATTTAAAGATTAAAGGCATGAAATAACAACTTACTTTCATAAATTTTCTTATTATAACATTCTATTTTTGTTTTTCTTTATTATAGCAATGTACTTTCAAGTTACTTTTTATTAAGGCATCGTACTTTAAAAAAATCATCCATTATAGCAATGGATAACCTGTTACCTTTTAAACCGGTTAATCCATTGACTTTTTTGCTTGAGTGGCTTTAATGAGGTGATGTGGATGACACATCATTTTGATGACWTAATTAAAATAAAAATAAAAACTTATTTCAAATTATTATTATTAGTGATTTTCATTTTTCAATGCTATGATTTAAGAAAACATTTAATTTTTTTGATTTTTTCTTATTAAGTTGCATGCAAATTAAATATTCTAGACTAATATTTCTTAAATAAATATGCTACATTATTTTCGAGATATATTTTGTTTGTAAAAAAGGTAACACTTCTTATTTTATGTTGTTCCAAAAAATACATATCTTTTAAAGTTCTCTCTAAAATGTTAACGAAATAAATTGTGTTCTACAATTTTTTAATATTGTTATATTAATAGCTAATTCAAAAAAATTCTAACTAATTTAATATATTTACACATCAAGTAAAAGTTTTTGAACAAATATAATATATTCTTTAAAAGATAATATTTTTCTAGTAAAAGATAACATTATTTA